GCAGACTTCAATGCCCGAATCGCAGTGTATATTATTGTTTCTTATGCATAGCCATGCGATGTAATGGATCATTTTCACATATGAAGAGGTTGATGTCTATTAGTTTTATTTTTAGTTGAATGAACAACGTAGCAAAATAGCGGAACAAATTACGACAATATTCGAGTGATGTCATTTTCAACATGCATCAATTATCATTCACTCGAACTGGACCGATACAACGAGCAGGCGCGTAACCACCACTGGGGACACTGGGGACCGGTCCCCAGTAACTTTTGGGTTACTGGGGACCGTCCCCAGTAAAACCGACGACCTCAATTTGCTTGAATAGCCAAATATTGTCTCTAAATCGACGTGAAGAGTAATATGTAGTCAACGGAAAACAAAACTGGATGTTTTGTTTAGCCAGCGCCCGGGTGGGCCTCTCAACCAACTTAGCCATGGTGGGGGGGGGGGGGGAAGGGGGGCTTTTGGCCACACCAGATTACCTAAGCAAGCTAGAAAGACGCGGTAAGAAGCAGCAGATAGCTCGCTACGGTATCTTTCAGAATTACCTATGTCATTTTTGATCAAGTCATCGCTCAGGTCACTGGAGGTCACCAAAGGTAAAATTTTCACAAACTTTTATTCCCAATTTTGACAACTTTTCACAAATCGGCGCATACGTCAGGAACCAATAGAGCTGCAGTGCTGCGGGAAAGCGCATTCGATAGCTTTTTCAAAGACCTTTCTGAGCAATGTTCCCAGTTTTGACCTAAGGTCAACGGTTTAGCTTCCAGGTCGGCGTTTTGCGGGAAAGGTTTTTGTATCATAACTTTTGACTCAAAAATAGCATAGCGCTGATTTTACCGGCATCGCGTTGGTCTCGTCGAGACGCATGGAAGGAAAAGGTCATGTTGCATGTCATGCGACTGGTATTGTTGAGTTGAACACATCCATGGTGTTAACGCTCTAACATGTTTCTACCTAAAGTAATGGTTAAAAAAAAACTGTTGGAGATGTTTCATGACCTGAGATGATCTCAGAGGCATAGAAGGGGTCACAGGTGCAATTTTCCGGTTCAGTGTGTCATGTTTACCTGTGTCGGTGCGCGCCGCGGTTGTGCTTACACGCGCAAAAAAAAAATGGCAGGTGTGGCCAAAAACGCCCCCCACCATCTCCCCCCACACACTCGGGCGAAGGCTGATCCTGAAATATTATATTTGGTCTTCGCGGCCTTCCACGTGGTCCCCAGTAACTTCAGACTCGTGGCTACGCGCCTGACAACGAGCCAATGACACCGAAAGTAGACCAGGCGCTGTCCGAACCTCACAGCCGCTTCCCTTCCCAGCGCCCGGTCTCCACTGCCCCCGTTGATGATCTCTCAAAGTCAGTATGTGCCGTTATACCACAAACTTCTTCCTTACGCCTATATAGTAAAAGAACAACACGAGTTTTTTACGGCGAGGGCCACGCACGAGCACTAGCACTGAATAAAACGGCAGCGCGCAAGTGATATTTAGCACATAAAACATTGTACAGGATGAATTACGACACAACTTACACTCGATGCGGTGAACGAAGCACATTGGAATGATGACACGGGTGAAACGAACAGATTCACATCCACACTTCAATGTTTTTGCCTGCTCATGACGAAGAGCCTATGCGAGTTTCGTACACGCGGCGTCCACCACACACGCCATTACACTCAACTCCCATCATTCTCCGTGACCATCCGCTCAAATCTCTGCACCATCCTGAGCAGACGACATGGCAGTCGCCAGTCACCATGCATCTTTCCCCATTACGCCCCTTCTCGGTCACCACGCATCCGCACGCGTCTCAAAGTCCTCCACACTACAAACTCTTCACTGAACCATACTCCACAGTCCACACACTCTACACTCATCACTTACCACTCCACACTGTTGAGTCTCCGATCGCGTCAAAAGGTCGGGTTCACCACGCACAGTTTTCGGTTGATCTCTGACAGCACGATGGCATATTTGGCCGTCTCCTCTCGCGTCGCGTCTGCCATGATATCCTCATAGACCATCTCCTGTTCGTCTCCGGCGCCGGCCCCGCCACCACCGTTTACCTCTTCCCGCTCCTCTTTGACCTTCTCCTTCAGCGAGCGGCGCTCGTCAATGCGCACCTTCTTTGTGTCGGGCTCCACCGGCTTCGGCTTCTGAAAACGAGATCGGGAAATGAGTCAGGTGGAGAGGTCAGGTCGGGTGTGTGTGTGTGAGGTGTAGTCAATAGCGTCGGACAATTCGATTGGAAAGTAGTGAAATGAGATGATAGTGCCAAACATCGGCAAGCAGCGATAGCGTCAGAATGAGATCCCAGGCACACGTAAAAAAGAACTTATAAACAAACTCGAAGCAAAACACTCGGTAAGGCATAAAAGCGCATCACGACATTGCATCTTCAAAACGTTTAAATTGAGAGGCAAAAACGGCCTAAACCATAACATTCATAGTTAATATAACCAAATGAAATTATTGGGACATCGACTGCGCTGAAAAAGACTTAATTAATGACGCCTCAAGATGACTCTTAGTGGCTGGGGCTGATTTTCCATTTGCCTTCTGAGCCATCGCGGGACGGGCGATACGCCGCTGGAATCTGATCTCCAGCCAGTCCAACTGTGACCCTATCGTCACCGCTGAGTAGCCGGCTCATTTCCGCGGAGATTGCGTTTCCTTCAAACGGGCTAATTTATGCGGACGCGGCCTTCGCCACCAGCCCCCTCGTGGCGCTGAAGGAGCGAACAGTGCGCCTGCCAAAGCAGTATGCAAATTGGGCACGGGTCGAGGGCCAGCGGCGACTTTGGCTATTGGCTAGCCGCGTGCCAGGATATCCCGCTCCGATGGGGTTGATAAAATCGGGCATTGTAAACGGCGGTGATTGTAAACTGAAGGGAAGGAGGACAAAGAAGGAAATAGACAAACAAGCTAAAGAAGGCAGACAAAGCTGCGACGTCGTTCGTCAGGTAGAGTCAGCATTGATCCGAAGATCGCAAAATATGACCTTTGATTAGCTTTTGTCATTTTTAGTCATGGAAGGAAGCTTTACACTGTCGATATAATCTCCTTGCAGTTTCCGAACCCGTTTAACGCTTCTAGGTACGCTGCTTACGTTTCGATACAGTTGGGACAGGCAACCAGAGCCACCTCTTCCTTGCGAAGTTGGCTCAGACCTCGTATTTGCAAGCTTTTGAAAAATTGCAATGGCTAATTTGTATTTGGCTCACGCATTTAATACCATGGGTTATATTAATAATTAATCAACGTCCTCGCTACCAATAAGTCTACATCAAGCAATGAGCTGCTATTCTTTCCTTTGCTCGACTCATCTGCCGTACTTCCTTCGAACTCCTTCCCGGACTCACCCGCTTCCGCGGCGCCCTCTCGTACTGGCTGGCGTCGTAGAACTTGGGCTTCTCCCGTTTGACGCGCTCGGTGCGGCGTCGGGCGGGCGATTCGCCCTCCTTGGCAGCACCGGGCGCGCGGCCGGGGGACCCCACCGGGGCCGCTGACGAGACCGTGGAGTCACTCGACTTGCGGAACGAGTGGCCGCACGGACACGTCTTGCAGGCCACCGGCAGCTGAGGTGAATGATAAACATGTGAACATGATCTGATCTGGGGTGGGCAAATGATGGGCACATGCTGTATGATGTTAAGAACAAATCTGGTTACATGAATGAAGGCTTTTTAATAAAAATGGAATGAATGAATAAGATGAATGGGATGAATGAAATGAGTAACATGGATGAAGGATGAAAAGTTCAAGAATGATGCATCAACACACTATCAGCACTTTAGCATTTTTGACAGAAATGATTATGTAAATTGTTGAGAGTATAGTTCAATTACAATATGTAGGTACATAAGTAAACATGAAAAATGAAGGTGAGTGATTACAACCTAATCTCAAGCAAAATTCCAGAGAGAAAAATAATGAAAAACATGGACCAGCGAGATATGAGAAGTGACCTTTTAAATATTACAAATGGGTATTAAGTAGGTACCCAACTAAATACCAAGAAATGCATGCATTATTGACAGGATCTCATGAGCCCCAAACTGACATCTGTATGAATGATGCCAAAATTGTCAGCCTCACCTGTCGCTCACAGCCCGGGCATTCCTTCGTAACACTCTTCTTCGGCATTGCTGACAAATTGAATTCACAGGATTTATTCAAGTTCAAAACACATTCAAACTGATCCTGAAACCATAACATGAATCAATATACTTATGCTTATTTGACATTGAAGTCAATACATAGGTATGCTGGGTATGCCATCAAATGTTTGCTGGCAAATTTTTCTTTGAAACAATTGTCTGAATCAATTTTATTTGACTGATGGCTGGGCGGCTGGATTTGTTTGAGTGTCAGTGTAGGTAGTCTGGATAAAAAATACCTAGATCACTTAGAAGAAGGGTACCTAGGTACAGACCTATTCATTTAGGGAGCTTTTGTTATATTTATTTAATAAATGTTCACTATTGGTTGAAAAATCCAAACAATATGCGTAAAATTGTCGCAAGATGGGCTAATTATTTAAGTTAGGTCGAGAGTTATTCCTCTCGTGCATCCACATGAAATTAAAAATGACGTCATCAATTTCAAAGAAAATTTCATAGTTTCATGCTCCAACTTTGCATTCATCAGGGGAAATGCGACATTTTTTTCTTCTCAGTTGAAATCATTCAAAAAATCAGCAAAACAAGTTCGCTGGATTGTAAAGTGAAATAATGTAGTTATTTTATACAAATCTTGATTGGCAAAATTGAAATGACGTCACAAGACCGATTCCTGGAAAGAGCTAAGGTTGTTTATAAACAGAAGCTGTGCGACATTCTGTGGCGCACACGCGAGGAGGCGGCGAGGCGGCGTGTTGACAGTGTATATTGAGTGAATGTTGTAGATATCAATATCTTGATCAATATTATGTTGTTGATATTGTGGATACTTGGTGGATATATGGGGGGGGGGGGGGTCCACAGTAATGATTTCTAAAAATCATTGAATAGCTATATCATTATATGAGCTCCTTAGACTCTTAGAGGACCATCACACCCTCAATGGCAGTAATTTTGGCTTATTTACACATTTAGTCAGTCAATGAGTAAGTGCTTGTTTTTTGGAAATATCTGGAAATCAACTGGAAATCAAATGTAAGAAGGTCGAGCACAAGATGTGGGAAGGGTAACTTCAACTTTGGGATTAATTTTGTCATAGATATTGCAAGTATTTCGTGCCACTAGTAGTTACACAAGATCAGGATGCTAGGGGCTAGGGCCCTGTTCCATTGCATGGTGCTACCTGACACTACCAGGCATTGGTGTTTAGTTTGCATGGAAATGTAAGAAGATTTGCCCATTTTCACTTGCCTACATTTCCATAGATGCTAAGCACCAATGCCTGATGGTGTCACCCGTGTCAGGTAACATCATGTGCTTAAACACAGCTCTTAGAGTTTGTTTTTCATAAGCTAAGCACATACAAGGCATGAAATCCTCTACCCCTATAGCTCTGAATTTTGCTTTTGAAGTGAGTGTGATCCACTGGGAATGCAGTGAGCCCTGACCTTGGTCTGTTTACAGCCTCATCTGAATTTAGCTGACTGAAAGGGAAAATCGGCTGCCACCTCTCTTCATCATATGGCAATGGACTCAAATGTAACCATGGTCTCTGGCGACATCTTCTCCTGCCCATCTTCACACAGCATGGCCCACTGCATCTCTGCCGACTGCAGGCTGGGCAAAGGCATCGCTCTCACATTCAAAATGAAGTTCGGCGGCGTTCCGGAGATACGCTCGCAGCACTGCCGGCCGGGCGAGGTGGCCGTCCTGCGGCGCGGTGAGCGCTTCATCTATGCTCTGGTCACCAAACAAAAGTACAGCGACCGGCCGACCTACGACACACTGCGTCGGTCGCTGCACGCGCTCAAGGAGCACTGTGTGGCGCATGACGTGAAGCACTTGGCGATGCCACGCATCGGCTGCGGGCTGGACCGACTCAGTTGGGACCGGGTCCTGGCTATGATTCGCTCCGAGTTCAAGGACACGTCCGTCAAAGTTGAAATCTACTCGCTGTAGTGGGAAGGAAGTGGCCGGGAGAGGAGTGTTGGAGACACTTTGTGAGGTCTAAAGGGGACCAGTGAACTGATCTGTGATTGATAATGATCCTCGAGTGCTGTGCTGTCACAAGTGGATGACGCTAAATGGATTGTGTCGCTTCCATGTCGTGAATGGTATAATATTGCCTTCAGTAGAGAGGGTTGAAACCAGAATTTCGTCCATTTTTTTGTTGAATACATCTTCTTACAATTTAGTGAGGCATTAATGGTTGGCCAATGGCCAAAGTGGTGTTAGAAGGTTCTGAAGGCAGTGTTCTGCGATGTTCAAACAGCTTAATTGTCATTCATTCATTCATTCATAACGTTTCCATAAATATTTCTTGTATTGACGTGGGTTCATTGATTCATCATCTGCCCAAAACTGACCTAAGTTTGATTGACCTGCTGTTTGAGTCGCTTGTATTCTCTTGGCAGAGGTCAAGTTATGACTCAACCATTCGTGCGTCGCCCTCCATGCAGTACACTGATGTGCAATGGCACAATTGGCGCCCGGCGGCGACTCTCCGCTGCTTCCAGTATTACCATGAGCTGTGCAATAAAACTCCGCAATGTTTTCCAGTTTTGTCATCTGTGTACTGACTACTGACATCACTGAGCTGGAGCGCGTTCAACCACTTTGCTCGTGGGTCCGTTCTTTCGATATCAAAATAACTGTGCATTGTGCAGACACGCGCGTTGGGAGCCAAGAACCAACGCAATTCAATCACAGACGTGAGACGAGTCTAGGCAAACCAAAGGTAGCCATTCGGCATTCAGTAGGTAGTCACTAGTCACCCACTCCATCCATTGCAGCGCCTGAGCTGAAAATCATGATACAAATGTAGATTTGCACGACACTGCCTTCAGCAGTAATTGAAATAGGCGCACATCATGATGCTTTTATTACACAAGAATAATTGCGCACATGCAATACTGAGTTATATTTCACATCTCACATCTTGGCATGGCAATCCCATCATCAAACAAATACGTATCTGCTAATCATCATATTCACAACACAGCCCAATATATTGTAGATGTTGAAACAGATCGTATATAGCCCATCGGTACATTGGTTGTTGGAAGTTATCAAAAGTATGCAGCCATCAAGACCTGCGCACCAACTGAATACCGTACAGTGGATACCTAGGATATCTATACGCAACGGAAGGGTTACTGGAATTCAGGGACGAACGCAACACCGCTTGCAGCTGCGGGTAGATACTAAGTACATATGCACCCAGATAACGTTTGATGAAGCAAATCCTCCCGGTCAGGAAACACAGCCTACACAAAAGGATATATCAATATACACACCGGCACTCACTGGGCTACATCCGGGGTTCAGGGCACCCGTATAGCCGCGCTTAGTCTGAGGTGGACCGTCCGATCCCAAACAGGCACGCATATTTGCCTGCGGTACATACAAGAAGTCGTCCATCTACCATCGCAGCTGAAACTAGTCGACCAACATCTAAACCGGTCTCTGCCACTTACAACCAGATTTGCCAAATGCACTAACCATCAGCCAATCTGTAATGTTCATGAAGGCTTGCTCAGAAAGATCAAGCAAGTGATGCAAGGAAGTATTGTCTGTTGTCTGAATATCATATTGACCGGAATGAATTACGAATACGCATGACGCATGATGGGGTGGAAAGTATAGTTGATGGGAAGCTGAATCGATTTAATGTAGTGTGGCAGATCAACGCAAATATCTTGATATCTTGTCTGACAATGTTAGCACTTGAGTTCACAGCATACCCAGCAAGAAGAGCGACTCAAACTCACCGTATACACCAGCCAGCCACTGTTCTAACACACATCAGCAGCCGGCAGCCTTCACGTCTGCCTGGATTCAATCAGTCACCACCTCAGACATACCTGACAGAGGCTCCCATATAGACGATCCAATCAGCCGACTCAGACCACGTAGCACACAGAAATGAAGCTGTAACTGTAGACAATGTTTAGGACCGCGCAGTCCAGCTGAGAAGTACAATGGACCGGTTCCTGCCGGGAGAAGCGGACGTCCGGGCTCCGCACCGGCGACGTTCACGACAGGCGACGGAGTCACTTCCCTCGGCTGACACTAAGTGCACTTGCTCCACTTGAAGCCGCCACACGCGTAGGTGACGATGCCGTAGAGGACCAGCTGGAACGGGCCAGATAGGTGGCGCGTCAGTCGGGCGGTGGAGGGCTGCACACTGCACACTGCACGTAACGTAAATGCCAAGACGACGCAACGACGCAATAACAATGCACGCTATAGCAAAGGCGAATCATATGACGCAACTATTGCGTATGGCCAACCGCAATGTATGCCTCTTTTCTGTTTACCATAGGTACAAAAAATCATTGCATCAATTTTTTATCTATTTTCGTGTCACTTCGTTTCGAAGTTATGTAAGTAAGCATTATAAATATGATATGGTCGAAAGACATTTACTTTTTGACATTAGCAAACCATTGTGTGCTTTTATTATAGTTTATACCGATACAAAGAACCGACTATGAGCAATTAGTGGATGAATTGATAATTGCACCGCTAAAAACGGCACTGACATTCGACACCAATATATCAAAGCTCAGCATTATCAATCGCCTATCAAGTATCAGCTGCGTGATGGCAACTTACGAGACAGACCACGGCGCAGGCCACGATGATCTTGACGTTTTTCCACCACATGGCCCTGGCTAGGTTCCGACTGGTCGACCGGAAACTCACGCTCTGTCGCAGATAATGCGGGGTAGTTAGTACGTGCACACGTCCGCTCTCTCCTGGTGCGCCACCGACCTCTATTAGCAACTAAATATATTGTAAATGGATGGAGCGAACGCCAGTGATGACTGATTTGCCTAATAAAACAAAGGTGGATTGACATCAATGCACAATGGTCATAGCGTGAGCAATGGCGCTTGGTAATTGGCACATAGTTATTCAGGTAATTTGATGTGCAATGACCTTAAAAGGAAGCCATATTGAGCATTCTATCGTCGCTTCCTGAGCTACCTGAAGTAAGAACCAAGCGATGGCTTACGTTTGCACTGAGGTTTTCCGTCTTGCTGACGAGAAGCTCTAGCCTTTCTCCTCGAGACGCGATGCTGTCTGAAAACAAAACGCAGAAAAAAAAACACTGAACAACACTTTAATTGCTTGTGTTTACAACAGGGCTACATCGAACATGGATTTTTTACCTCATGACTGATAATGCAAGGAGACGCCTTCAATTAATGGAAATACAGTAGGATATAAAAAAGTGGGAACTGAAGACTGATAACGGTCAGGTGACTGCGCTAAAAAATCGACTAATGACGCCGTATTTATTCGTTACCGGTGTCCTCTTACCGATGTTCTGCACCATGATCTCCTTCAGTTCATCCATATCTGCCTGGGCCTTGGCTAGGGTGCTCCTCGACTCCGAGTACCGCCTCTGTCAACAGAACACCAGCAGTTAGCCCGTGCTACACAGGGGTGGTTGCCCTAATGACAACGAAACAAATAAAAAGACGTTCTATTGTTTATAAACTGTACCGTTTTTCGCCGTCAATTAGCTATGCGTAATGATAAAAAAGAAGGATGCCATTCCCGTGACCACCCGGTGACAAGGAACAGGAATGTTTTGCGATGATATCCAATACATCAACTATTGATACGACGGGCAGCGCTATCAACATTCGATCTAGGCGTCTGGCAGCGTCCTGGAAATCGCCCCAACGAGTCACCAGTCACTGGCTAGCGCGGCCAGAGCCGGCGTGTCCCGCCAGCGAGCCGCACACAGCACCGAGCACCATGAGTACCCTCACTATAGCCAGTCTGAGATGGCTTCTGTTTCAGTGGAAAGTTATTCAGCAAGAATCCTACTAATATAAAACACATTAATTCGCCCTTTTCTTGAATTAGTGATGACTTTCAAACAGAAGGGAGGATGACCTCCAATTCCTAACACTGATCTCCGATTCCTCACTCAATAAAAAAAAAAACAGTCTAAAACTTTTCCAGATGTCGGTAGTGTATTAAGTTTATAAACTAAGGAGCCCAAAAACACTGCTTTTTCTCACTGGACTTCTAATTACGTTCACTTGTCATTGAGCACCTCCGACATGCGTGATACGTTGACGTCCAGCAGAAAACAATGACGTTAGCAAAAACTGTCATAGCTTGTAAAGACAGTGGCAGGGACTGGAAGGTACGTCTCACTCCGACATGATTTCTTTCTCATCCATCTTATCGCCTCTTTCCTTTCCCAGCCGTCGGTGTGATGAACAATGAACCCCGGCCGGGAGTCTGGGAGCCAGTCCCGCCGCCAGTGCTTACCATCTCGCTGGCCATCAGTGGAGAGAACTCGCTGTTCATGGCGTACGGCAGAGCCGAGTGCAGCCGGTACCCGTACACGGTGGTGAAGCGCTTCTTCAGCTCCAGCAGGAAGCTGAACGCCCGCGAACGCTCGAACGCCTGCCAGTAGCCGTGCACGGGAGTTTGGGTTGTGTCAATAACGCACGCTAAGCAAGGGTGTCGGTAAACGGCGCAGAAACGCGATGTCATGTTACATTTCTAGGGTACACCTAATTGGCTGATCGGCGACACACTTTTAGAGTTGCCGACGGGGCAGCCGAGTATCGATCTGTGCTTATCATCGTGTTGTAAAATTGGTCGTCTCATCTATGTAAACAAGTAATTTACATCCATTGAATAAAATGTGGGGTTATTGCGAGTGAGAGTGAAACAAAGTCTTTTACATATTAACAGAAAATAATGAGCATGAGTAGCCAGCTGACTGGCCCAGGTCATACGCTGAAGAGTGAAGACACTATCTCAGCATCCCCACAACCAACTGACTTGCAGTCTTTTTAGAGGTGAAATGTCCTGAAGCAAAGAAGTTATTTTGTTGAAACACAGAACAATGTAAGCTTTGTCTCAAATAAAATAAGCTCTTGTACTCACATCATCTGTGATACAAAGATAAATAACTCCAGCCTCAGTGACATAGTGAAACAGATAGTCTCCATGGGCATAGGTAAGTTTGGAATCTTGCAGCCCAATCTTGGGGAGGATCAGCTCCACCACCTCCATGAAGTTGCCTGGACAGGTGGCGCATTTGGCAAGGATGGTGGTGCCTCTTGAAATCATACTAAATAGAATTGTCATGGCTGCTGGTTTATCTTGGGCAGCTCAATCAGCTCAGATCACCTGGAAAGATAAAATAAAATATCAAACATTTCAAGCATGATTTAAAAGACACCACTGAATATGTGACTTTGATGCATATGAATAATAAACACTGGATGCATAACAAATTACTGAATCATTCATTCTTAAATTGCATCACCACACATCATTGACATTGCCCTTCCTCACATATGCATCAACATATGGGATAAGGTTGAGCATTGGCACACTTGCTCCTATCTTACCTATCTTATCTTATTGTTACCTACTAGTATCTTATTGGTAATATGCACAGACCACATGAATCCTGCTAAGAGAAGCTGGGGAATCTTGGAATGGTGATCAAAGATAATAGCATTCCAATAGCACCTTGTAGTAAATTATTTGTGGTGCTTAAATTTACTGCATGCCTGGCCTAAGCAAATACATTTGCTGGGGGGGGGAATGGTGTTAACAAATTGAGCACTGAGCAGACAAAAATGTTACACCAGTTTGCAATGTGAACCAAGATTTTGGGAAGACCTCCTTAAAAACTGGCTATGAGCTTCAGCCTGGGAAACTAATTCAATGTTGGCATACAGTAAAATACATGCATGCCAAACTTGGCATGTGATAAGCTTTCAAAAACCACAGTCCTTCATGATTTATGAACCTTGGGCATTGTTCAAAAATCTAGTAAGGACCTCAGACTTAAAAATTTATTCAAGGCATTTTAGGGACACCAAACTCATTCAGTATGATTCAACACAAATAATTTTGATGGGTTAGGTCCATTTTTCATTAACATTTCATCCAACTATCCTCCTTTCCAGGCGTATTTGAGCTTCTTCAGGAAGCCAACACAATTTTTGTTATTCATTATTGAATAATCTTTAACACATATAATTTATAAAGGCCAAGTTTCAAGCCCTGTCACAATAAGGGCCCACACAAGAAATAGTGACTCACTCACCAGTCACTGTACTGTATACAGTACACCAGCCAGCCACTGTACTAGCCAGTGCTCTATTTCTCAGATTTTTTGGTGGCAAATCACACCTGTGACCTGATGGTGAAAACATTTTCATCCCTAAAATATGAATGACTGACTTTACTTCATCTCTGAAAAAGGTTTTGTGTATTCGAACAGCCAGTTTACATGTCACTTGACAGTTGATGCACCCACATCCTTTTGTTTCACACCCTGTCAAGATCCTGACATGAAATCCTGGATGATCAGTTGGCATAAAAATTAGCATTACACCATTTTGCAAAAAAATACCTCAGTTATTTATTTACTTTCTTTTTTTCTCATCCTAGGATTTTTTCTTCATCAGATTCAGCACACCCAACCAAAATCCAATTTTAGAACACTGGTACTAGCACACACCAGTGCATTTTTTTTTTTTAAGAAATACACCGCCACCCATTAAAAGGTGACCAGGAGTGCCCCCACCCTCGAACCCAACGACACACAGAACCTTGCGTTAACACCAAGAAACAAAAGAAGCAATGTCGTGGCACTCCCTGCTAAGAAATGGAAAAAACATAAAAGTAAACCAAGAAGGCAGCAAGGAATTAGGCAAGGCTCAGTAAGAAGTCAGAAAGTAGTCAATGTGCTCATAAGCCACTGACTGGCCCCCCACTACGATCCCGAAATGACTGTCTATATAAGAAAGGCATGCAGACATGGGACACAGAAGAAAGGAGGGATTAGGCATTGAGTGAAATAACCAAGACATGCAATATACTTTCATACTCAGAAGTTTTTCCACGGGTAGGTGAGGCTCTGGTCAGGTTCACGCAGAGGTCATTGTTAAAGCACAGGGTGGCCCTCAGCTAAGCGGAGCTTGTTGCCGAGAGGCCCTCCTGCCTCTAACATCATCTGTGGGTGACTATTTGGTACTATTTTGTATTATGTTGTGTTATTTTGTGTTATATTAAGTATATACTATATGTGATAAACTTCAACATAAAGTACTCTATGAGTTGACTGTATGCGTATACAATACATTTACTGTAAGTTATTGTATTTATTAGCAATGTGCGTATTTATTTGCTAGGTGACTGTTTTGAGGTATTCTGTATTATTTTGTGCTATTTTTGTTATATCCACTATATGTGATAAACTCTCCTATCTATCACACAGAGTAACATGTAGTTGCTTTTAGTATTCCGCGATTATTAGTTGTTTTGATGTTTCTTTGATTTTCTGTTTTGATACTCGTTCAGTTTTGGCATGTGGAAAGAGTGGAGTTATCATAGCATTCCAAATTCTTGGACCAATCCATGTAATCGTATGGGTGCGATAAAGTTCGGCAGTAAACGGCTCAAGGAAGTGTTTTTTTTTTTTTTATAAATTTAGCTCGAATGTTTGAATGGACGGATTGACAGAGCCGGAGTCCACGCTAAGCAGAGCTTGTTGCGTAGACCCCGACCCCTACCGTCCGATCGCGCAATTCCGGGTAACGGGAGAATTTAGATGCCAAAGTTTAACGTGCCCTTCAAAGCCGGACACGGCCTGTCCCACTCAACTGACTTCAACTGGCTGCGGTTGCTCCCACCAACCGCAGACCATCCCCGTCAGGAGTCTCATATATCGAGCGCCGGAGCGTCTCGAACCCGGGCTCTCACTACCGGGAGTCCGATGCTCTACCAACTGAGCTACGGGACAGGCAAAGTGTTTAACTCTTCTCTGCATTGCTCAAATGCAGGCTTTGTTATTTTAAATATCAAGGTATGCATTGAATTTCTTTCATTTTCCCACTTCAAAAAGGACAAAATACCTATCAATCGACAATCAACCCCACGGATTCAGATTTCAATTTATGGCCTGGAGTCACAACCTTTCATATTACGTTGACCATAATCTTCAAGTGACAATTATGTTCACACATTTTAGAGGCTAACCTCTCAACTCATCAAATACTGTTAACTCGCAATAAATAAATTAATAAATACAAGATATTCAGACCTTTCCAAGCCCACCGCGACGAACGATGCGATGCGATGGTTATCGGAGGTTTAGCCTTTGTATCGGCACCTCCTTGAGTTCTTAAAGGAAATAGTTCACTTTTAACATGGGGTTTTGAACTCGAATAGCAGTCTCGTAGCTTGAGCTGAGACTAGCACAAATCAGGAGCTTTTACGTCTCAACGATCACCCTAGACGAAGATATTCCATTTCTCGTTCCGAAAAGAGTGCCTTGTAGAGGAATGCGTGCCTTGCACAGGAATGCAGCCACGTCATCATCAGCCAATCAGCATGCTGCTCACAGCCAATGCAGTATGCGTAGGTTTGAATTACGCGATATGATTGGTCAACGCGTAATAAGCTTCCGCCTCAAACATTATTTTACATAGAATATAGTTCGTCCTATATTAAAATATAGAAAATAATTGTTTTTACAAAAAGGTTTTACTTTCTTTCATGATCATTTTGAGCATAAAAAATCATAAATCAATAGCAAAATACTAATTTCAGGAAAGTGAACTGTTTCCTTTAAACTTTAACTTTTACTTTGATCGATGGGTTGCATTGTTGTGGTTGGTTAGTGTGGCTAGGATTCTCACTAGGGGACAGGATTGGGTGTTGGGAGGATGAAGGTCAATTAGGATGGAGAAGTTTGTTTTATTTCCAGCAGTCTTCTTTTCTTCCACAGCTTAAGCAATACTTCTTTCTTTTCTTCGATATCTTCCTCCTCAAACAGAAACATCCCTAAAATATCCTTTGCATAGGGTTTCTGAAGATGCATTGATTCTTGTCTTTCTTCTTCATAAGCTGGGCAATTCAATATAAAGTGGGCGAGGTCTTCATTTTCTGCATTGCACATCATACATCTTGTGTCTTCTTTCTTGTATCTCTTGCGCTCATTTAAAGGAAGACAGTTAGCTCTTGCCTGGAAAAATATTGTTGATGCTTGCTGGTTGTCAATAAACGTTACTTCCTTCATCTCCTTTTTCCAGACAATGTACAGGGACAGAGTAGTTTTAGTTAACAATTCCTCCTTCCATTTCTTTCCATCCCATTTTTGCATGTGTGTTTTAAGGTCTTTTTTGCTTATCTGGTACATATCCTTTACTTTGAGTCCGACTTCCTCAATAATGGAACAGGTTACCTTCATCCATTTGTTCTTGCCCTCGTCCATCATTTCCGTTAACACCTCTTTGAGTAGTTGATTTTTTCCTTGCAATATGCTTCTCATGTACTGAAGTCTTCCAGTTTTAATCCTTGTTGTCATCAGAGATGCTCCAATTTCTCCTCTCAATGCAGCATTTGGTGCATACTTTGGAGCCCCCAAGATCTGTCTGTAGACACCATTTTCGATTACTTGCAGCTTCTTGGTCTCTTCCTCTGTGACTGTCATGACACTGGAGCCGTACAGTATTGATGGCAGCGCTAAGGATTTCCAGTAGGTCTTACCAATCAGTAGTTTGTTGCATGATTTTGCAATTACTGAATAGGTCATGTTTGCCATTTTTTGTGCCTTTTCAATCATGATTCTTTTCTGCCCTCTGAACACATCCCTTGTATTTGTTACTTTCAGACCTAAGTATTTTATGTTTTCTTTTACTTCAATATCTTCTATGCTTCTGTGCTGTTCTTTCAGATTAAATGTGATAATGTTGCTCTTATTCTTGTTTATGTCCAGCCCACACTCCTTGCTAATTGCTGTCAGTCTTCTGATGCTAGTCTCTGTTTCTTCAATAGAATGGTTCAGTAGGAGCCCGTCGTCAGCAAAGAATAGGATTGGCAGTGTAAATTTGCAGCTTCTGAACCCTGCTTCTGTTGCCTCCATTACTTTTGTGATGATATAAGTCATGAGCTTGAAGAAAGCAGTTGATCCTGTACACCCTTGCCGTATACCACTTGTTACTAAAATCTCTAACTTTATGTTCTCATTTAGTTCAATCCAGGTTCTGTCTCCTTGGTATGTGGCTGCCACAGCATCAATCATTTTGGGGTGAATCTTGTATTTCATGAGCACCTCTACCATCTTAGCTCTATCGATGGAATCAAACGCCTTGCTGTAATCAATTGAAGTTACAATCAGAGGTGCCTTCATTTTAAAGCTTTCTTCCACACAGTACTGTAATAGGAAAAGGTTGTCCTCTATTCTTCCTCCTCTCGTAAACCCTGCTTGTGTCTCTAACTTTTGCTCTGCGCTTTCTAGATGATCTTCTAGTCGCTGTTTTAGAATTGACATGTAGATCTTATAGGACACATTCGTTAAAGCAATTGGTCTCAAGTCTTTGGCAGTTGGCTTAGACGTCTTTGGTATCATTTTCGTCCTTGATATCTTCCATTCTGATGGCGTGTCACTTCTCTCGAGGACTTCTTGGTAGCAGCCTGTCAGTATCTTCAAGCATTTGTCATTTTTTATCAAAGCTTTGTATAATTCTGGCTTGAGTTCATCTGGTCCTGCCGCTGACTTGTTCTTAAGCCTGCCTATACATTTGGTGACTTCTTCCTCAGTTATTTGTATATCTTCCATCTTCTTCATCCTCTTCCTACTGTTCATGGCCATATCCATATGTTCTCTCAGTGTGATTGGGAAACTATATCCTTTTATTTGTATCTGGTCCTGTTTCTCTTTCTCCAGATCTGCAGTATAGGTTAGCTTCGTCCTATCGTTCCACACTTCTTCTAACTTGTTTTCATGTCTTTGATAGATTTTCTTCCAGACACTTGCTAAGTTTTCCTTTTCTTCTTCTCCTTGCAGCATTTGTCCAGCTTCTGTGAATAGGCGAACTTGACTGTTTTCCTTTTGCTTCCCTTTGAGTTTGTTGATATTCTCCCAAAGTGCCTTGCTTTTGTAGCTACTATAACGTATTTCGTCAGTCACTTTCTTTTCATGCTTTGCTATTTCTTCCTTGATGAGTAGCTTCGTCAGTCGTTTCTGCTCATAATATTTTTCATATAATCTGCTCTTTTCTTCTTCTGACTTTGCATTTCTCCTGAGTCTGTTGAAGGCTTTCCTTTGCTTGATTTGTTTCCGTATTTCTTCGGTCATCCATGGTTTTTCTTGGATTTTGTCATTCTTTCTGTCAGTTTTTCTTCTGTACCTTCTTGTAAGCAGTTTCTCTGCCACATCCTTCATTATCAGATTGAGGTCTTCCATTAGGCATATGTTATCAGCTTCTATTCTATGTAGTACCTCTTGCACGAAGCCCGACAATGATTCTTGGTCTGTCTTAATGAAGTATTCATCTTTCCATTTGGCTTTATTGAGATTCAGTGACTTTTCATCTTTGAAAAACACTGTGATCATGTTGTGATCTGATAGATCTAGCAGTTCTTGATTTTCATCAATTTTCATCTTGAGGATAGACTGATGCATCTTACTGTTGACCAGCACATAGTCAATAACACTTCTGTATTCTTTACTTCCCCATGTATACAAGCCTTCACATATGTCATCACCATTCAGTAGAATCATATTGTTTTTGTTTATCACATCAATGACAAATTTTCCGTTCCTATTCTCTTTTTGGCTTCCTAGGAACCCTACATGTCCATTAAAATCCCCCAACAACATTGTTGCCATGTCTGGACTTTCTTCTAGCTTCTCTTCAAGCTCTTGTTTGATTTTCTCATTTCGTGTTTTGTCTTCTGGTTTTGTTTCAACTGACATGTAAACAAGTATTATCCTTACCTGTTTGTTCAATATACTTCCCCTCACTTCCAAAACATCTTCATTCTCTGAAGGGGCTTTACTTAAAGCAACACCACTGTTTTGTTTATACAAAAACATGAGCCCTCCTCCTTTCTTGTCTTTTTGTTTTCTCATGCTCTCTATCTTGATCAAGTTCTTGTCAATCTCAAGTTTATCATATCTTTGGTGGGTCTCAGTAATACATAAGATGTCACAACTGTAGGCTAACAATTCTTCTAGTTCTGCCAGTTTTTGCTTTGTTAATCCTTGTATGTTAATGAGATTCAATTTGTAAACCTTTCTACTTTCCTGGTTGTAGGTCTTCGACCCCTTGTTTGTTTCTTGTTTCCTGTACCTTCCATCCCTGCTTTCTTCCCTTCTTACTGTGTTACTTTGTTTCCCTTCCTTTCGACAACCCTCCCCCGAGAAATGACATGGGTTTCTCGCCCTTTCTTGAGCCACTCCTCTCTCAGTCTTCTCTGCTTCTCCCTTTCTTCGGGAGGTAGGTCCCTTGTAATGTAGGTATTTTCTATGCCTTTGCTCTTGAGATCAAACCTCCTTTTGTACAAAAGCTCCACATGCTCCTTTGATCCCAGCTTCAGCAGGAGTATTCTTGGTTTCGTTTTCTGGTTCTGATTTGCATTTCTTTCATCTCCTTTCTCCGTTGTAGGTTTTTGCCTCAATCTGACAATCTTCTGAATTTCAAAGTCTCGCACTCCCAGAGCATCTGCTATTTCTTTGAACGAACACACACACAAAGCGCTCGACAAAATGACACTACCGCGCCATAACTGTATCAAACAAGGCTCGAAGATAAGGACAACTATTCCACAGTCATTCGTGCAGACGACTACCCCGAACCACATGCTCCAGCCTCCAATCCAAACGAAAATGCGATCAGTCGGTTCTGGTTTGTTTTGTTGGGTTAGGCCCTTTCTCTGTCCGAAAAGACCATTTCAGACCCGGAAGGATGATAGGAATTAGAGGGAGACATTGGGTAGACGGGACATTAGGGAGACGGGTGTACTCTCTTGAGAGCAGCGGAGCCGCTCCAAGGGAGCAGCCTGCCAGCCCGCACGAGATAAAGTTGCCTGTCTAGCCCGGACCGAGGGTTGCGGTAGGGAGGAGAAGGATTTGATTATCCTTAGGATGGAAACGACGGACGGGTGCGATCAGTGGGTTTGTTGTGTACGATATAAATAGAATCTTCAAACATTGGTGAGTGGTGACCGCAGGTGACCTCGGTGACCTCAATCAAGGCGTCAGCTTACCTTACCTTACCTTTGTGGTGATCGGGATTGAAAAAGGCCACTTAGCCTGGGGATCCCGCTCTCATCGAGCTCGTATCGGGATACAGGCTGGGCTCTCAACCCGCGCACCGACGGGGGGGGGCAGTTAACTGCAGCCCCCCTCCCGAGGTTTTTGGCGAATAGCGGGAATTTGGCATGAGTTTTCCCTCATCAATTATGCCTACACATTGTGTGCAAGTTTGAACCTCCTACCTTTCAAGGCCAGGTCACCAGGTCCAGGTCACTTAAGTTCGAATGACCCAGCCTCGAATCACTTTTTTGCAGCTT